CTGGACCTGCCCTGTTCCTTCCTTGAGAGTCACCTTTTCCTCCCTTGCAGTCCTTGGATTAGAGAGGGTTAGACTAGTGTGGTGTGAAGATGGGATGACAAATGCTACAAAGACCATCAGCTAGGCTATAGACAGCCAGCAAGCCCAGGAGCTCTGCCTGTCTCCACCTCCTCAAAGCACATGGTGATGGGTGCAGCTTTCTGTGGGGGTGCTGAGGATCCAGGCTCAGGTCCTCAGGTTTGCACAGCAAGCGCTTTACTGACTGAGCCACATTCCCAGCCCCACCAAAAAGATTCAGTGAAGTAATGCATGTTAAGTACCATACCTAGACTGTGACAACAATACCTTTACTTGGGGTTGGCACTGTGTAGGTGCTCAGCAAACGTTTGTTAAGTGAATGAACGAGCAAGTCAGGTAACCTCCACACCCCTTGCCTGGGTCCCCGCTTACCCTCCTGGAACACACATTGATTTGTTCTGGATTTCTTGATAATTAATCTCTTGACAAAATTTAAGACCTGTTAATTACCCCTGATTAATTAGGGTGAACTTTTTAATTGCTTCTCTAAGCTGAAATACACTGTCAATAGGCCCCATAATTAGTGACCCAGTAATCAGTTTTAAACCAATTATCCCAGGGTAACAAGTGAAACTAGGCAAGCAGAGCCCCAGGGGCTTGGGCCAGTTTCAGTGGAACTCAGAATAATACAAATTGGCACTTGTGGAGTGAAGAACGTGTGCTCAGTGTGATTGGAAATACGGATACTTAGGGTCTCTGGGGTGTTTCATTTGTCTGAGTTTCCAGCACTGTATTATTGATAGCAGTAAAATAGGCGTGCTTCCTGACTACCCAATCAAAAGCCTGGGGCAGATTCTCAGGGTTGTTTGTACGTCTTTGGAGACAGCATAGTCATGCAGGTTGTGCACTGCACAGTTCCAGGGCCATCATTTACACTGAGCCTACATGAACAGCACCTCTGGAAATCATGCAGTGCAAAGCACAGGTGTGATCCCCTTTGGGTCACATGATATGAAGTAGGACTTGTATTCTTACAAGGGAGACTTGGAGGCAGGTTTGGAGGCATGTTAAACTTTCCCCAGATTGGGAAAGGCAAGCACTGGGCAGCTTTTGTAGTCTATCATGAGCATGGAGTTGTATCATGTGTGCATTTAATTTCTACTAATCTTACTTCCTGTATTTGGAAAGAAATTTAACAAAAGGAAATAATAACGGAAACGTACAGGCAATTCTGCTTGCCACTCCATTCAATACAGGCACACCCAGAGCCAGCCTGAAATGGGGCCTGAACCTGCTGCTCCCCATGCTCTGCTACAAAAAGATGATCACACCGTGAAGCATTTAAAGATTAGTACCTTTGTTTTCAGTGTTATTAACTTTTTAAACAGCAGGGCCTTCTTGCAGCCATTCACTGGATATCCAATTGGAGAAGAGATTTCTTCCCATAGTGACGGAAACTGGCTGGGCTGGCCTTTCTGAAAGGTGGCTTATGATCTCCAGCACAGAGCCTTTCCTGGTGATTTTCAATAAGAATTTTGAAAATGCAGGGTCCCCTCCCTCCTTTTCTGGCACTTTGGATTTTTTCTTCTACTGTCATTCCCATCCAGGAATCACACCCTGGGCCTCACAAATGTCAGGCAAATGCTTTACCATCTGAGCTGCTGCCTCAGCTAGATTGTCCTCCTTCTACATGCCCTGGAAACCCTAAGGCAAAGCATAATTCCGGTTTAAGGGAGTCTGGTACAGCTGTCTTCCTTAATAGGCATAGAACCTGGTAGACCAGATGACCCTCGGGTCATGGCTAAGGCCAGTTGCAGGAGAAGCATCTAGGATGCTTGCTTTAAGAAAATGCAGATTCATACCAGGCAGAATGGAACACACTTGCCATCTCGGTAATTTGGAGGTTAAGCCTAGAGGATTAAAAGTTTGAGGCCTATCTGGGCTATGAGTGAGTTCAAGTTCAGCCCAAGTAACATAAGACCCTGCTGTGGGATGGTCTGTATGTCAAATTGCTCTGATTGGTCAATAAATAAAACACTGATTGGTCAGTGGCCAGGCAGGAAGTAGGTGGGACAAGGAGAGAGGAGAATTCTGGCAAGTGGAAGGCTGAGTCAGAGAAACCGCCAGCTGCCGCCATGACCAGCAGCATGTGAAGACGCCGGTAAGCCACCAGCCACGTGGCAAGGTATAGATTTATAGAAATGGGTTAATTTAAGATAAAAGAACAGTTAGCAAGAAGCCTGCCACGGCCATACAGTTTATAAATAATATAAGCGTCTGAGTGATTATTTTATACGTGGATTGTGGGACTGCGGGGCTTGGTGGAGCCTGGAGAGAAGCCCTCCAGCAACAAGACCCTGTCTCAAAAATAAACAAAAGGAAGGCTAGGGATGTAACTCAGTGGCAGAGTACTCGCCTGCCATGTGCAAGACTCTAGGCTCAGTTCCCACTAAAACCAAATAACAACCAAACACGGGAAATCACAACTTATTCATGCCAAGTCTAGTGGCACATGCCTGTAAATGCCGTATTCATGACAGGCCTGGTGGTGCACACCTATAAATCCAGAATTAAGATGGTTAAGATAGAATGGTCAGTCAATGGTTTGAGGTCAATGCTAGGGAAGTAGTTCATTTAGCCTTGTTTCCCATGAAATCCTGGGGACCTGAACTCAATACCCAGAATCCACGTGAAATACTCAGGACTAGGAGACCATTTATGATCCCAGCTCTTGAGGTAGAGATAGCCAGATTGGGGAGTTCTAGATAAAAGTGGGAGTCCTTGCCTCAGAAAGGTGGAGAATCATTAAGGAAGACATGTGAAGTGTCCTCCATGCATACTAATACACACACCTGAGTTTGGATCCCAGCACCCACTCTAAAAATCAGGCATAGTGGCATGCATCTGCAACCCCAGAACTGGAGCCGGAAACACATGGATCCCGGAGGCTGGATGGCTGGCCAAACTAGTCAAAAAAGAGAGCTCCATGTTCCTTAAGAGACCATACCTCAACAAAATCAGTGGAGAATGATGGAGGGTGACACCTAGCATCAACCTTTACATGTGCCTGTACAGGCAAGCACATCCACATATATACATACAGCATACACACACACACACACACAGAGAGAGAGAGAGAGAGAGAGAGAGAGAGAGAGAGAGAGAGAGAGAGAGAGAACACAGATTGTTGCTTCCTACTTCAGACCTATTATGTCAGAATATACAAGCACGGGGTCCTAAAATTTGTATTTGAAGGAGCTTTCTGGGCCTTTGAGGCACACACTATAAACTTAGATGAAGGGGGAAAGAGGGTCTCTGTCAGTCACTGATCTGCCTTCTCCACCTAGGACAAGATTGGTCCATTGCATGCATTTGATAAGTATTGGTTTGCTGCAAAGAAGCCCCTGGGTCTGCTCTGGTTTATGAGAACATAGGTCAAGCCGGCTGTGGCTAAGTGAGAAGGGGTGAGTGCCTCCTGCTCTTTCCTCAGGCTTCTCCGGGACAGAGGCCTGGGACCTGCCTTAGGATCCTGCCACCTGCCTCTCATCCTCTGGGAAGCATCTCACAGATGCCATTAGCCATTCATTTGAGGCCTAATCCTCTAATCCAACTGCTTGCTTGCTGATTTGCCAAGTGAGAAATATGCACAGACACAAGCCACTTGTTTCCACAGTTATTTCCAGCTGGAGAGAAGGAGGCAGCTGCGGGAAGGAGGCTTTAGGCTTTGCTCTCTGAGCCAGGAGATCCCAGAGTAGTACTGGGACATAGCTCTTCCATCCAGGCTCTTCTCATTCAGATGCCTACAGCTTGGAGAGGTCTAGTCCCCAAGATGGCAGGAAGGTTCCATGTTGAGATTATTGTACGAATGTCTCGTTGTTGCTCAAGCATCTCATCTTTTAGGAAGGATTTACTGGGCATCTATTGCATGCCCAGTGGTGTATGGGTGGCATGGGACTCACTGAGACACAAGCAGACTCAGAGTCAGGTTTTGGGGGGCTCCCAGTCAGCTTCCTGTGCTCCCAGTTTCCTGTTCCTTTGTCAGCCCCAAAAGCTTACTTGTTCCACATAATTCTACTTCCCTTTGGAGATGAGGAAATTGCCTTAGTCAGGGTTTCCATTGCTGCGATGAAACACCATGTCCAAAAGCAAGCTGAAGAGGAAAGGGTTTATTTGGCTTACGCTTCCACATTGAAGGAAGCCATGATAGGAACTCTAATGAGGCAGGGACCTGGAGGCAGGAGCTGATGCAGAGGTCATAGAGGAGTGCTGCTTACTGGCTTGCTCAGCCTGCTTTCTTAGAGAACCAGCCCAGGGATAACACCACCCACAATGGTCTGGGATCTCCCACATCAATCTCTAATTAAGAAAATGCCCTACAACCCCATCTTATGGAGGCATTTTCTCAGTTGAAATTCCATCCTCTCAGATGACTTTAGCGTGTGTCAATGGACATAAAACTGTCCAGCACAGAGATAACAACACCGTGGCTTCACCCTCCACTATACCATCCTCCAAGTCCCCCAGGTCCCCACTACCCAGTGTTCCCATCACCCCACCGCATTTCTGTGGTCCCCTTATTTAATATAGATGCTCTCTCTTGTGCTTATTTCAATGTGCCATCTGTTTTCCGAGCAGAGCCTGACTCACAGGCTTCCTCTCTGAGTTTTTTGGGTGGTGGATGAGTTGGTGAGTAAGGGAGGGTGTGTTCCCCTGTGTTGGTACCCATGAAGGCCCAAGGATGACATCAGGATGGCATCCTTAATCACCTTTTCCTCCTTATTTTATTTTATTTTATTTTATTTTTGAGACAGGGTATGTCTTTGGCTAGTCTCCCTGAGAGCTGCCCATCTCTGTCCTTCTGAGCACAGCACTGGGGTCACAGGTGTGCACTGCCATGCCCAGCTTTCGTGTGGATGCTGGAGATACAAACTCAGGGCCTCACACTTGCATAGCAAGCACTCTACATTCTTTCTCATGCATACCTCTCTCGGCATTCTTTTCTCACGGACACTTGATGAAGAAGCTGAGATGAAGGCTGCACATTGAGTCCTTTGGGCAACAAGTGGCACAGGTGTGTCTCCTCAAGCCTGTGGTGTGTTGGGTCTTCACTTGTTTTCATATTTGCAAGGAGAGTTGCCATCACTGAAAAAACAACAACAACAAAAAAAAAAATGAAAACAAAACAAAACAAAATAGCCTCCCTTGACAACTTAGATAAAGGGACAGTAGCAAGCTGCTAATTCTGGATGGCATCACCAGTTCAGGCTGGAAGTCAGCTGCTCAGCCTAAGGCAGAGTGGTTTACTATTTGCTGTGGTCTCTACCATTCCCTATGGGCTCCTTGGTGCTGAAACTGCTCTCTTGCTACACTCACGCTGCTTTTCTTAGGGTAGAGAGGAAAATGAACGTTCTCTCTTCTTCCCTCTAGTAGAAACTGGGAAAATAAAAGTTAGACCTGGGGGTGGGGCATAACCAAATATCTTCGTAGAAACAGACTCCTCCTAAATCCTAACAGGACGCCCCTGCCTGCTAAACATTCATTTTTATTACCTTCCAAACTCAAGAGAGGATTTACACTTTGGGCACTAAAATAGAGTTTTCGTTCAATTTCTGCCTTAAAGGCAGCCAACAATAGCTCAGTAAAATAGATAACAAGTGAATTTGGACCGAAATAGACAAAGGCAGGCTAAATGAATCCTCTAATCCCTACACGGCCTCACTCCCCAGCATAAACTACAGACTGCCTGGCATACAGACTCCAGGAAAAGCACCAGGCTGATCTAGACAATGCGTTCAACTGAGGTAGATAAGGGCCTGATCTAGCCTTCCTCTACATATAGACCTCTGTTTATACCACTTCAATTTTACTTTCAAGGAAGGGGGAACTAAGACTGATTGACTTTTATATTGCACTGAAGATTTTATACATACCATTTTGTTTTGTTGTTTTGTGCACAGGGTTTCATGTAGCCCAGGCTGGCCTCCAAATCAATATGTAGCCTAAGATGACTTTTAACTTCTAATCCTACCCCCCTCTACCTCCCAAGTGCTGGGATCACAGGACTGCACGGCAATGCCCAGCTTTCTGCAATGCAGGGATCATGCATGCTAAGCACCTCTACTGACTGAACTCCCGCCTGATCTCTTTGAACAAGGTAGGAATTTTATAAAGTAGCTGTTATGACTTCCATTTTAAATATAAATACTCTGACGTCCAAAGATATGAAGAAACTGGGGCCACATCACAGGACTCGAATGTGATAGAATCAAGAACCAAAGCATCCACATACATCTCTACTGTCACTGCTGAAAAAAGGCTTTCAGAGAGTTAAGCAAGCTGAGGAAACATCATTATTTAATTAATATAAGATTTGCTGTCTTTGACAATATAGCAATCTTTCCATATCTGTCTACACAGGTCCACCCTCATTCTCATTAGCAGCTACAGGGATTCCAGGTGCCAGAGCTGCCTACCTGCTTTCTGTTGGTGGACACGGACAGTTTCCCAGGGTTTCATGGCCACGAGGAGCACTGCTGTAGACTCTCTGCCCCTTACCTTTGCATTCTTTTATGACTAGCCCTATAGAGCAAATTACTAGAACTGAAATTGCTTTTTCAGTGATGTGGGCGTTTAAATTTTCTATAAGTCCAGCCAGATTTTCCTGGGCCGATTCACTATCCCCACTAACAGGAACACCTGTTTTCACAGTCCCTTCATAGACAGTGCACTTTATTAATAATCTTTTATCCTTGCCAGGCAAAAGGCTATGATTTTATTGAATGTTATTAATTATTATTATTACTGGTGCATAGGTCACTTGTATTTTTCACCCGTAAAAAAGGCCGTTGCATGTCCTTTGCCTATTTGAGCTAAGATTGAAGCCCATTATCTCAGTTCAGATGATGCCACAGGTTCTTGAGAATGACTCCAAAAGGAACTTGGAACAATCTCTGGTCCAAAAGAGAACAGGGGTCTCTCAGTGTCGTGTGATAGAGCTAATAAGAATGGGTTCAACCTAGGCCGGGTAGTGGTGGTGCACATCTTTAATCCCAGCACTTGGGAGGCAGAGGCAGGTGGATCTCTGTGAGTTCGAGGCCAGCCTGGTCTACAAAGAGTGGTTTCAACCCAAGGCACTTGCTGCAAAGCCAGGGCTAGATGAAGAGCATCCTAGTAGCCAGTTTTTAAGTGACAACAAACCTAGCCCCTCCATGTCACATCCATGATGGGAAGATCTGTACAAGGAGAGCCACATCCTGCTCCAGGGAATGTAACACTGATAAAGGAGAGACGCATAAGGGAAGTCACAAAGTTGTCACTCCATAAATAAGTGTCTGTCTGAGCACCAAGGGACCTTGAGAACTCAGGGATCAGTGCTAGTGAGCAGACAACAAAAGTGCTGTCCCAAATGCACCTGTTTCTTCCAAGAAAGATGATCAGCCAGAGTCAGAAGTGGGAGAAGGGCTTCCAAGAAAACAATAGAGGAGACTCCTTTCTTTATCAGAGAAAAGGAGATCCTTTATCCTGAAGCTGTAGTTGGGGCAGGACTTACACAGCCATATCTCTTTGTATCTGGAGGGTGTCAAGACACCTGAGATGACACTCTATTTGCATACACCCCTGACACTTCCTGTCACACACTGTGAATCATCTCCAGATGACTTAGAATACCAGATACAATGCAGACATCATATAAATGGCTGTTAGACTGTGGTCCTCAGGGAATATCACCAAGAAAGAGAAGTCTGTGTGTGTTTAGCACAGACACAAATCTTTTTCCAAGTTTCTTGGATCTGTTGTTGGCTGAATTCATCCATGTGGAGCCCAAAATTATGGGAGGCCAAGCACACTGGTTAAAAATATGAAGTCTGGACCAGCAAGATGGCTCAGCAGACAAGTTTGCCACGAAGTCTGACAACCTGATCTCATCCCTGGAACTCACATGTGGAAGGAGAGGACTGACTTGTCCTCTGGCCTCTGCATGTTTTGCCATGTTCCTGTTCCCTAATTAAATAAAAAAATGTAAAAAAAAAATTAAAGTCTGATGACTCACACACCAGAATTTCCAAAGAAGCAAAGGGAAAGGTGTGTGTTTACTAAGCACCCAGATGATGAACAGAGGAATTTCTCTGGGACAATCCTTCTGAGCAGAGTCCCTTTACAGACAAGCCACTCATGACCTGGAACTAGGTCAGACACTTCTTCATGGTTGGTTGGTTGGTTGGTTAGTTGGTTGGTTTTCTCTCTGCTAGTGATTACATCATGCCATCCATATTGAAAATCACTGGTCCGTCAGTGGCCAAACCTGACATAACAAGAATCATCTGAATGCTAAAACACTAATTTTATAACCCAGGCTATTAGCAAACGCAGATCCAGTCCTCACCTCTGAATGAGCTGATGAAACAGTTCCTAGATGGGTCCTCAGAACAGACAGGCCATTGTCACATGGTAACTGCTGGAAATTGGCTCTACAGCCCACTCTATGCCCGCATCTGCGGATGCCCACACCCTCCCATATGCTTTAAAGTCTAAGGTATAAATGATGGAAGTCTAAACCATCTCTAGTTTACTTACAATACCTAACACAAATTGAATGTTGTATAAACATATTGTATAAACAGTTCTTGTATGATATTACTTGGAGAATGACGATAAGAAAAATGTCTGCAAATGTTCACTGCAGATACTTTCTTAAAATAATTTTAATCCTCATTTGGTTGAATCCACAGATACTGAAGACTGCCTGCCTGCCATGACATCATCACCTGCTGTAGTTGCAATACCCAATAGAGTCCCAATTTAGTTCACTCACGCATTGGAATCCTCTCACAGGAAGACATACCCAGGAAGACTGGATGTGAGAAAACAGAGACATTGCAGAAATAGAAGGATGTGGGGGTGGGAAAACCCTTCTAGGGCAGGCCCAGACCTACTGTGTTCCTTGCTAGGTTTACCCTGAACGGACTGGCAAGCTGTTGACCCCTGCCCCTATCCTACGGAAGTGTAACAGAGCCCTTAGGGGGTTGGAAAGGTTCCTTCTGTCTTTTTCAGGTTTGCTTGTTTGTTTTTTGTTGGTTTCTTTGGTTGTTCATCTGTATTTCTTTTGTATTTTTCCAAGTCAAAGCCTCACCATGTAGCTCAGGCTAGTCTTGAAGTTGGGAGCCTCCTGCCTCAACTAGGCAGGAGTGCTAGGTACCTGTGGTGCTTTGAATAGGCCTGTCCTCAATAGGCTCAAATATGTGAATACTTGGTCTTTAAAGAGTGGCGCTACCTGAGAGATTAGGAGGTGTGGTCTTGTTGGAGTGAGTGCAGTCTTGCTGAAGGAAGAATGTCACTGGGGTGGGCTTTGAGGTTTTAAAAGCCCAAGCCGGGCCCAGTGTGGCTCTCTCCCCACTGTCTGAAGACCCAGTGGTAGATGCTCAGCTCCTTCTCCAGCATCATGTTTGCCTGTGTGCCACCATGCTTCCTGCCATGATAATGGACTAAACCTCTGAACTGTAAGCCAGCCCCAATTAAATGTTTTCCTTTGTAAGAGCTGCTGTGGTCATAGTGTCTCTTGACAGCAATAGAAGCCCTAAGACAGAGCCTCACCTGACTCTCTTTTGTTTAGTATTTTTCAACTTTTGTAATATCATCACTAACCTGCACAAAACCCTTCTTTTCTTCTGCTGACTGGTCAGCCCCTTTCCCTTCTCCCTGCCCTATGCCTTGGAAGGACAGCATGGCCTTAAGCTTTCTAAGACCTGCTCTTCATGCTCTCTGAGCCACTGGTCTCGCTGCCATGACTTTCCACCCTTCCAGTGATGGACTCTGACGCTGCCGTAACACTGGGTTCACTTTCACCCTCGGTTCTACTGGGAGCAGGGTTCAGGGATACGGATGCTCAATTCCATTTAGTGTCAGAGCATTCTGCTGACACTCTGTACCGGCTGCCATTCCTTCTGCAGATTTAAGGCTTCCAGAGGTGCCCTTCCCCACCCAAACTCAGCCCTGCCCAGATTCTTTGCCCAAGAGTGTAAAGTGGTATCTTGTTATTATTTTCACTTGCATTTTTCTTATTATTAATGCATATTTCTATATACTTGTTCACCTTTTACATTCACGCTTTCTTCTCTAGCAGTCTACCTCTAAGGGGATTCTTACCAAATCAATTTGCCATCACCATTTTGTCTTTTTAGAGGTTTCTGTTGTAAGGAGAGGTGGCACATGGGGATTCTCTCTTGTTTGCTTTTCTCAGAGAGAAGGCAGATTCCTTTGTTGGTGGGTGTTGTTGCTTGTTCCTTTTAACCCCACAAAGCCCAGAAACAGGCATCTGATATCCTTGTGTGTCCAGAGCCTCAGAACTAAAACCCATGCTCTGATCAAAGCTGTCTTTCACAGCCTGTTCTGCTCCCAGACTCAGTTTCCCCCAGGTCCCCACTCCCTGGCCTTCTTGGATCTGACCCTGGGCTATCACTCACGGTTTCTTCTGGGTGATTCCAGTTGCCCACTGTTTACTCAAGGTTTCTGTCTTATTCCTTCCAAGTTGCTGTAACAAATAAACAGAAACTTCTTGGCCCTCTCAATCTGGTCTTGCCGCGATAACAAAGTATCTTAGGCTTGGAAATTGGTAATAGTCAGAATGCGTTTATTATTCTTCTGGAGCCTGGGAAGTCCAAGACAAAAGCTTCAATATGTTAGGTATCTGGTGAGGATTTGGCCCCAGCTTCCAAGATGATGTCTTAAATAATGTGTCCCCTCATATTGGAAAAACAAAATGGCAAAGCTCCATGGGAAGCTTTTTGTAAACAAAAGCATTAATATCATTCACAAAGGGGAACCCTCATAACCTAAAGTTCCCAAGTCTTAGCATTAGGGAACTGTATTACAACAAAAATTTTAGAGAGACACAAACATTCAAAGCATCACTTGAGCTGCAGTATTTATTTCTCACGGTTCTGCTAGGTATGCATTTCTTCTGTGCACCTTAACAAAAACCTGAGAGAACAGTTTGAAGGAAGAAAGACTTATTTTGTCTCACAGTTTCCCAGAGTTCAGTGTATAGTCACTTGACCCCCCTCCCTGGCATGGGCTAAGGTGATATGCCATGGTGTGGGGCCTATGTGACAAAGACAGTTCTTCACCTCATGGACAACAGGAAGCAAAGAGAAAGGAAGTGCATGAGGACCAGGTATAATCTTCAAAATAGTCACACATCCTCCAGCTGGAGCTTACTCTCCAGAGTTTCTAGAAACTTCCAAAATAGTGTCATCAGCTGGGAAACCAAGCCTTCAGCACATGAGCCTGTGGGGAATACATGATATATAAACCATTATACAGATGCTGGGCCATCTGAGATCAGGGTGCTTATAGACCCAGGGTCTGGTGGAAGCCCATTCCTGGTTTGTATTTTCTTATTTTCTCATGGCTCAGAAAGAAAGCTATTGAGCCTTGTGTGCCCTCTTGTGCATGTGGCTGTGTGTGTGCAGGCTGAAGGCTGCCATCAGGTGTCTTCCTCAGCCATTTTCCACCTCAGTTTTTGAGACACATTTCTCCCTGAACCTGGAGCTCAATGATTCCGCTGGATTAACTGACCATCAAGTCCCACAGGTCCTCCTGTCTCTGCTTCCCCGATGCTGAGGTGACAGGTATGTCCACCACCTCAACTTTTTCACATAAATGCTGAGGATTCAAACTCAGATCCGGATGATTGTACAGCAAGCACTTTACCAACTAAGCAATCCCCTCCCCAGTTACTTGTTACTAAACTCATCGGTGAGGGCTCCACCCAAATGGCCTAATTATACTCCAAAGGCTCCACTACCAAATGATATGGCTTTGGACATGAGGATGATTCCATCATGTGGATTTAAGCAGTAGGAACACATCAACATTCAGTTGTGATTCCTTGGAATTGAAAAAAGCAAAAACAAACAAACAAACAAACACACACACACACACACACACACACACACACACACACACACACACACAAATAAAAATAAAAAACCCAGGAATCTCAACAGAGAAATCACTAGAAAGCCTCAGAGACAGCAGAGAATCCATGAAGGTTTAGGACAGGAAATCCACGGTAAAGGCAAGAGCCAGGGAAATTTTGGGGGCCCTTTGATAGAAGTGGTCCAAGAACCAGCATCAGCAGCAGCATCCCCCGACCTTCTGGGAAGTCAGACATCTGTCCCATGTCCTCATTTCCACAAGTCCATCACCTCCTAAACCAACCCCTATCTTTAGAAGGAAGCCAGCTGTCAGAGGCCATCTATCCTCCTCATTTCTCTGGTCTCTTTCCCTGCTTCCTCTTGTTTCAACAGTACCTTTTTATGGATGCAAATAGACATGGACAGATAAGTGACAGACAGTCAAGGGGTTGTTAAAGAAAGAGTGTCCCCTTGACCAGCATCATTTAGCAAAGATGCCCTATTACAAGTATACTCCCACTATGTTCTTATGAATCATGTCCCTGGGATAATCCAGCTTTCTTACATTGATCTGTAGCACCTTTTAAAGTGCTACAGCCACCATTCCTATGGTTCGGTACCTGGGTTCTGTGAGCTGGTGAAGACAAGTATGTTGTGTAGATGTGGCCTGTGCAGTAAGGTGTTGTAGAGTTCAGGAGGGAGGAATTGGTGGTTAGTAGCTCAGGGCATCTGATTCACACTATCACAGGCATGGCAGCCCTTGGTACTACATCATAGTTAATACCTTTTGTTTTGTTTGCATCGTTCATCATTTTTTATTTGTCCCAACAGATGCAGAAATGCTCACACCCCAGGTCAATAGTTTCTGCAGTAGAAATTCTCTGCTAACATGCACCCCTTCCAAAAAAATCCTCTTAAAATATAGGCACATTCTTTTTCTCAAGTTGAGGCACACTGTGTGCCTAAGATCTGTCCATAGCCACACCCTTATCCCCGGTGGATAAGGGTTTGTTAGATCCCTGTGTATTCCTTGGCATGGAGCTGGCTCAGCTCACACTCCTTTGTGTCTGCCCTCCTTGGGGTGGGGTGGGGGGCATCCTAGCATTGGAAACCTTCTTACATCGCAGGCTAACTGATACCTAAGAAGATCTAGGTCCTTGTGCCATTCTGCAACTTAATGATGCACTATCTAATTAAGCCATGTTCATCTGTCTGCCTGCAGAGTCTCAACAGCCACCTTCCTCTAACTGATCGTATTCTTACTTCCTTTGTTTCCTATGTGATGTCTTTCAAATTTCCCTTCTGCCAAAGGCTTAGCCCCTGAGGCTGTTTCTTATCACTTATTCCTTCTGCCGCAGGCACACTGAACATCCCTCTTCTCTCACTTTGCACAGAACTTCCTTTCTGTAGATAGCCAAGTCCAAAATGCCTGCAGACTCTCTCAGACAAAAGACCTGGCTGAATAAAATTCCATTCTGTATATATATTGCTGTGGGAGTTGGGGGAGGCAATAGGGCACATGCAGCATGAAAGTGGGGTAAGTTGCTTGGGGTCTGAAGGACACAAAGAAAGGACAGGGTGGGGAATACTAGGGGTTGGGGGAAAATACCACAATGACAGGGGAGATATGAAACAGAAAAGGGAAATGATGGAAGGGAAGTTTAAGTGGGAAGATGGGTGGGAGGATAGGTCAGAGGGGAGCATTAGGGGAAGAATAACTCACACTAAGGATATTTGGAAAAAGCCATATTTTATAAACCGTGTGTGTGTGTGTGTGTGTGTGTGTGTGTGTGTGTGTGTGTGTGTGTGTGTGTTTTCACATGGGCACGTGTGTATGTGTGAATTTGATTGAAGTTTCCCTACACAGGGGATTTGCTTATCCCAGAAACCGTGGGTTGCCAAATAAAAAGTCTAGTACCAGGTATGGTTTACCTCCCCTTAAGTGTTTGATCAGAGGTGTCCTGGGGCCCCCTTAAACAATACAGGTTCTTACCATTGTTCTTGGTTGCCAGCCAGAATTCAATTTGTAGGACACTTTCTGGAAAAAAAATCACACATATCCATTACAAAACATGGATAAATCAAATTAGAATCGAAGGAGACGCTTCTTCCGTTCTGGCTAGCTTTCACAGTTCTGGAAGGTGGCATGCAGGCTGCTTGGGGGGAAAGTAATCAGTGATTTTACCCAGCTGTGAACCCTGTGAACTGCAATAATGACCAGCATGAGAAGACAGACCCATGGGTGTAATGATGGCACAGATGTTATGGGGTTAACAAATCACTTTCTGATTGGATTTAAGGCCTGGTTCACACAAGGAAGCACATGTCTGGTGTTGTAAATCTGGGCGAGAACCCATTGGTGGAGAGCTCATAGTTTCTAGGAGTGAACCTATTACCATTACTCTACCAGATGGACGTAGCACCAAACTGCCCTCTAAGTTCACATTTTTCTACTGTAGATTAACACGGCTCTCAGACCTCGTGAGAAAAGTAAATTTCTCTGCGCAGTGGATGGTGGTTAAGTCAGACACTCACAACTGGTCGAGAGTCAGTAGTGTGTCCAGTCACAAATGGTGCATCACACCCTCCCTAAGGCCCAGGGACCACTGAAGAAGAGGGAGTGGAAAGACCGTAAGAGCCTCGGGGAGGACTGAGTGTCTTCTAGGTAGGACAGGACCACTGCACTCATGAACTCACCGTAGCTATGGTGGCTCGCACGAGGCCTGCAGGAGACCAAGCAGTCAATACTCCAGCATGGAGTGGGACACTCTCTGAACTTGATCAGCTGCAGCTTTCTGAATTAACCACCATCCATCACACAAAGAAACTTATTTCTCCTCAGGTCTGAGAGCTGTGCTAATCTACAGTAGAGGGACATGAATGCACAGGACAGTTTGGTGCTGTGTCCCTCGGGCAGATGAGTAGAAGGAATAGTCTCACAGCTGGGACCTGTGAGCTCGCAACCATGGGTTGGGAGGTGCTGTATGGACAGTTGATGGCTTCTGGAAGAAGAGACAAATTTTGAAGGGTATGCTTCCTAGGAGGCCAATCGTGGTCCAGGAAACTTCATCACACCCAGGAGCGTGTGGGCAGCACAAATTGGATCTAATAGGTTATATATTAAAGAAAAGAGGACATGAAATTGGGGAGTTATAGAGGTGTGGGTGGATCTTGAAAGAATTAGAAGGGGGAATATGATCAAAATAGATTGTATGAAATTCTCAAAAAACAATAAAAACATTTTTAAATGAAGAAAATACCATAATGAAACCTAATAGTTTGTATGCCAGTTTTTAAAATAAATAAAAACTTAAAATGAGGCTTGGCTAGTGATATAAAACTAGCTTAACTCAGAAGAGTGTTTTGGGGATGGCAGGATTCCTCAGTGGGTCAAGGGACTTGTTGTCAGGCTGAGCTTGAGTCTCAGGACCCACAGAGCGGAAGGAGTGAACTGACTCCCATGGGTTGTCCTCCGACCACCATGTGCATACACACATACACATAACTAAGTGAATATTATTTTTAGGTATAAGTTTAATTTTAATTATTTCTTCCTTCCATACAACTCTTCTTGTCCTCTTTTTAAATTAAAGAATTAAATAAATAAATGCTATTTTTTAAAAGAATAATTCTCCTAGAATAATTCTCATTTCTCCAATGTTATTTCTTGGGCCACAGCAGCAGCTCTCTCTATAGTCCCCAGCCTCCTCCTAGACACTGTGATCATCTAGATGTCACCTCCTAAGAGTCAAGAAACCTCTCTCTTTCATAAGATGGACAGGACTTTACAAACAATTCCATCTGACAAGTTTATCTGCAAAAGACTAGACTGTAGAAAACTAATTTTTATTTTATGGGTATAGATACTTTGCCTGCTTGTGTGTATACGTGCCACTTAAGTGCCTGGTGCCTGAGGAGGCCAGAAGAGGGCATCAGATCCTCTAGGACTAAAGTTACAGATGGTTGTGAGCTGCTATGTGGGTGCTGGGAATTGACCCTGGCTCATCTAGAAGGGCAACCAGTGCTCTTAACTGCTGAGCCATCCAGCTCCCCCAAATGAATTTCTTGTCAAGGTTTTGTTTTTTGTTTTTTGTTTTCTTTTTTTAAAATAAAGATTGTGTGAGAAATAGGGTAGCCAAAGAAGTCTCTGTTGAAATTGGGGTATCTCTTGATCCCTCGGTTCACACAATAAGAAACCTCTTGGGTCCATGTCCAAGTAGTACAGACTTCACCATGTCCTCCCGCCAAGGTTGCTGAATAGAGGTGCAATAATCATTCTCAGCTGAGAATTGCTATATTCATAAATCTGTATAGATACAACCTGCAGCGGCAGGGGCTACATTATAGGGTCAGAGCCCTGAGACATCTAAAGGCAGAGGTCTTGTGTTCAACAGCCATTCTTTTGGGGATACTAAGTGACACTGATTTATCAACTGATAGGTATTTTCCCACATTTATTAATTCAATATGCATAGGACAAGTGCTGAATAACCATATCCTCTTACTGTAGAGGTAAGTACTGCACATCAGTTAACACTTAAGCCCTCCCAGCTTTTCTCTCTTCTTTCAGACAGACTAGTAAAAGCTATCTTCCCTCTGTGAGCTTCCCATCAGAGAGCTCCAAACCAGCTTTGACTGATAAAGACTGGTAGCATGCCTTCATATGCTTGCAAAACTTCAGCTCAAGTCAAACTTTAAAGAAAAAAGAAACTTTCCAAATTGTCCCCATCAATTAACTAATCAGGAACTGAGCTTACCCAGCCACCTAAGTAGTACTTTCTGTTATTTTAGGGCACACTTTCTGGGAACATTTGAATACTGTGGTAGTTTGAATGCAACTGGCCCCCCATAAGCTCACAGGGACTGGCACTATTGGGAAGTGTGGCTTTGCTGGAGTAGATACGACTTCATTGGAGGAAGTGTGTCACTGTGGAGGCAGGCTTTGAGGTCTCATATATGCTCAATACACACCCAGTGTCTCAGTTCACTTCCTGTTGCCTGTGGATCAAAGATGTAGAATTTCCAGCAACTTCTCCCAGCACCATGTCTGCCTGCATGCCACCATGATGATAATGGACTAAACTTCTGAACTGTAAGCCACCTAATTAAATGTTTTCCCTTCAGAAGAGTTGCCATGATCATGGTGTCTCTTCACAGTAATAGAAATCCTAAGACAAACACATCTTTATCAAACTCAGGATTGAATTTTTAGTCCAAAAGATTACCTCAGAGACAAACACAAGTTAGTGTACTAGTCCACTTTTTGCATTTATTTATTATTTATTATGTGGAATGGGAGGTGCATTCCACGGTGCATATGTGTAGGCCAGAGGATGCTTCTAGAGTTGATTTTCTCTTCCTGATGTGTGGGTTCAGGGAATAGAATTCAGGTCTTCAGGCTTAGTGGCAAGAATAAATAGTCACTTTTCATTACCATAACAAAATACGTGCAGTTGAGTAACAAAAAAAAAAAAAAGGTTTCTGTAGGTCATAGCTGGGGAGACTGAAAGTCCAAAGAACCTAGTGAGGCACCCATGGCAGATGGCAGGTGCCCAACTCAGAACCAGAGATCCCATCACCAGACAGGAAGCCAAGATGACCGGAGTCCCTCAGTCCCTGGCAAAGGCATGCCTCCCACTGACCTAACCAGTGGCTAACACACCATACTATAGAAGAAGCCTCCAATACAGAAGCCCTTGGGGGAGAAAACACAGCTGAACTATAACCCCCATGCTGACCACCACTGCACATGCTTCATTAACAGAAAAACAGTCATTGGCAGTTCTTGTTGAGTCTCATAGTAAAGAAACAGTGACAGAAGAGCATAAATATAATACCCACCCATTCAACACATGTTCATGTTGAAGTGTGCACAGAGTAAAAGTCCTAGAAACAAAGTTGGAGCAACAGGGTCCTTGGCTACAGAAAAGTGATTTTCTGAACCAGACTTTCATCTGTCCCTGGAGAACTTTCTGAAAATACAGACTTCTACAGGGCATGATAGTGCATGCCTTTAATCCCAGCACTTGAGTGGCTGAGACAGGAGGACCATAAATTCACAATACAAAAAAATGATGGATCTGGAGAGAGGGGGAGTGGGAATAAAGCCTGCTGCTCACCTGAGGTTAAAGGATACAAGTTGTGGTGGAATAAAAATGGTCCCATAGGCTCATATACTTACATGCTTATTCTGCAGTTGGTGGAACCGTTTGGGAAGGATTAGAGGGTGTGGCCTTGTTGGAGGAGGTTTATCACAAGGGCCGGTGGGGGTGAAATTTAAAAATCCCATGTTATTCCCAGTTAGCTCTAGGGTTCTCTCTCGTTCTCTCTCTCTCTCTCTCTCTCTCTCTCTCTCTCTCTCTCTCTCTCTCTCTCTCTCATCCTCTCTCTCTCATTGTTGTCTCAATACATATGATCTCAGCTATTGATCCAGTGTCATGCCTGCCTGTCTGCTGTCATGCTCCCTGTCATGATGGCCAAGGACCCTTAACCCTTTGAAACTGTAAGCAAGCCTCAATGAACCCTTTCTTCTATAAGTTGCCTTGCTTATGGTGTTTCTTCATAGCAATAGAAAAGTAACTAAGATGCCAGTGAATTCTGTCAAAACAAGTTTGGTGATCACTACCTTGGGGAAGCCCAGGAAAAATGGGAATATAAGGAAAGAATTTATTCAGAGCAATGGGATGGGACTTTGTATGAGATTCTGTGAGAGAATACAGGCTTATCACTCATAGGAGCCACACTAGTTACTAGGATGGATGAATACAAACTAAGAAACATTTTGTAAGCTATAAAGTTTTTTTTAAAGGGTCACTAAGAGGAGGGAAGAAAACTCAGAAGAGACAAGAGTACATCCCCCAAGGGTCGAGGCAACCAGGGAAGGAAGCAGTGTTACTAAAACTCAAAAGTTCAGAGGTGATGCAAACCAGTTGGCACTGACGCTGAAGTCTCTCATGAGACTGAGTCATCTATGAGTTCAGAAAACAAAACACCATAGACCAGATATGAAGGGAGGAATCTTGTTAAGATGTTCATAGGAACAGGAAGCCAATAGGAAGAGGATAAGTCTCCCCTTCCTGTTGCAGCTCCACAGCTAACAGAGGAAGCCTCCCCTATGGACAGAGTCAGTCAGGGAGTAAAGAATATGCCTCACAGTAGAAAGAAATATGGTTAATGGAGTCTCAGTCACAGCATCATAAAGACGAATACAAAGGGTTGAATTTGCAGCCAACATACAGCCATTTAATATCTAGCCAGTGTGTGCAAAAATAAAGAGGGACTCTTTCACAATTACTTTGCAAAAGAATTTTATTCTGTCACTATACTCCTATGAAGATGAAGACCAGAGAGATCAAGTGACTTGTGAAAGGTCACACAGTAGCCGATGAGACTGGCATGAGCCAGCATTTATTCTGAGTTGACGCCAGCCCTCACTCAGGTGAAGATGCCGTCTTCCAGGCTCCGCTCATTTTTCCTGGAATTGACTTCTACCCCATTTTGGCCTCCAGAGGAGCTGCTCCTCAGATGTAACTTAGTTACACAAAAGCTAAGGTTTTCCTTTTCTGATTTTTCTGAGTTTTCCAGGACCTGCAAGTACCTGAGGTGTCACTGACAATGTCTTCGCTGGATGGACCAGGGAGTGGTTTGCAGCTCCAAAGGTTGAATCACTGCACATGAGAAAGCTTTCCAGCCATCACTCCATCAGGGCTGGGGGTAAAATTATGAGGGACCTTTGAACTAGCCTGTGGCGTGGCGTGAATGCCACCAAATTCTCCAGTTCTCCATCCACGCTCCTTGTAATGTGATTTCATTGCTCTTCCTGTTGCTTTGGCTGTCAAGAACGGTATGGTACAAGCAAAGTCTTTAAAAAGCATCGGCTTACCCTCCCTCTTTTCCTCCTCCCCTCCCTCCCTCTTTTCCTCCTTCCTCCTTTCCTCTTTTCCTCCTTCCCTCCTTTCCTCTTTTCTTCCCTCCCTCCCTCTCCCCTTCCTTCCTTTCCTCCCTCCCTCCTTCCCTCCCTACAAATCTAGTGAAAGATAAGGCACAGTGAACACCATTGATGTTCTAACTGAGGCCCTAGATGACCAACCAGGCAGATGAGACCAGCAGAACAGTTTAGTTGAATCTTTGTCTAACTGTAGCTTCCTGAGTTAACAGAGCTTAGTGATCCATAGACTCATAACATAAATGCTTAACGTTTCAAGTCAGAGTGGTGTGATCATTTGTTACATAGGACTCTGTGGCGATAAACAAACTGATCTACTGTATCAAAGGCAAAGTTAAGAGCCATGCTACCATGCACAGAGAAAGGAGGCATTAGGGACCCATGGGGTAGGAAGCTACGGACATGAGCAATTCCGAAGATGAACCAGTTCTAACCTGTTTTTACTTTTCTGTCTTTCTCCTCTGTTCCTGTGGAGTTAGTTCCTCCTGCCATTTGTCTGAACCGTTAAATCCCAGAAAAAGAATATGATTGGCCCATTAACTCACCTCTGGCATCTGGATTGTGACTGACAACTTCCCTCAAATCATGGGACATGGTTTCGGGTAGTTCCTTGAACAGATACAGAGATACAACAGCCCCTAAATGAAACATGAGCCCTGGGCAGACATGAGGAACAGAATCTTCTCCGAGCTCAAGCTCTTCCTTCAGGTTTTATAGCATACATTTGTCTGTGAGCCAGGACACAAGGAGTGCTGGCTGCGGCTGGATGACAGATTGAGCATCCAAAAGATTCTCCAACAATTGGAATCACAGCCCAAAGCTAGCAAGATGAAATTAAATATGGATTAATGTGAAGGCCTGCACTTGTGTTCAAAGGAAGTAACAGCTGGTGGGGGATGAGACAAGCGTGTTGACGTTTAATGGTAGCTTGTGTGGAGAGATTTGAAGCTCAGAATGTGCCAACAGTGAGAAGATGTTGAAGATGGAGGACAGCTGCTGCTGGGCTAACGAGAGGGCTAAGGAGCCATCTTCGTGGACAACCCCCTCAGCTCCATGCCGCCACTCTGGGACACAAGCAGCCTAAGACTGACTGAGTGTCTAGCATACACTAAACTAGCTTGCATCAGCTAGACCGTCTCAGTCAACTAACTCATGCACACATAGCTATTATTTCTATCTTTCAGATGACGTAAGCAAAGCACGGAGAAGTTATGTAACTTACCCAAGGACACCCAGCTTTGATGGAGCCTTGGAACCCAAGATGAATGACTCCTAAGACACCTGACTCCCAGGAAGTGTGGCAATGGCATCCTGCTCTTGGGTAGAAAGCAGAGGGAAGTGTACTTGGTTTATACCATGAATTTACAGGCACTTCATCCTGGAAGGTATTAGTGTCACCATTTCAAACATGAGACCTCATGGGAAAGAACTGGAGCATGCTGGGGACAATAGCTGAAGAAAAGGAGTCCCCTGTATCTGTACATCGGGGAGTGGGACTTGAGGATGAAATCTACTCTGCTCAGCTGCTGAAGCAGCGGGTAGGGTTAACAGCGACGCAGCTTCATCTCCGAGTTCTGAAGATCTTTCTGATGTAGACTGTACTTGAACTAAATCTCAGATTACAAATATTATACCATTAACTAGACTTTTATTATGTACTAGGAATTTCTCAGTCGTGACACAGCAAGGCATTTTCATAATATAACCATGAGACCGGTTGCCATTAAGTCACTTACTGTGTGCTAATCACTGCACAATTTTAAGAAAGGGGTGCCAGCATTATCCCCCACTTAATAAATCACAACATGCAGCACAGAGAGGCTAAGAAAGCACCCAAGGTCACACAGCTAGGAAGAGGCCGGCTCAGTGTGTGAATCAAATTGCCCAATCCCTCACGAGAGCTCTCTGCTCTAAGACTGCAGGTCTCCTGGTTCAACAGGGAATCATGGGGGAGGTTCCTAGACACTAGAAAGCCAGCATCCTCTGTGGAGCATACTAGAATGAAATCAAAGTCTCCTCCCACCTCTGGAATCTAAAACTCAGGGACACATTGTTTAATCCTCGAAGAATACCAGCCTACACATACAGCCCTGCGCTGTGGGGGTGTGCAAGGATCCCGCCAGACCTGGGCTCCGGCTGTGCGGCCAGGATGTTCCACACAGCGGGCTCCCGCCCTGCTGGGCCAGGCTCGATGTGTTTTATTAAAAGGCAGCGTTTATCCGGCCTGCTCCTGGCAGGGCTGCGGCTGCAGTTTATTAGGACATCATTTGGAGTGTAAATTGTTGCCGGTTTATAAAAAGGCTTTCGCAGAGCGGCTCCGCTGGGATGGCCGGGATCCGCAGCTCGGGGCAGACAGGCTTTAACTAAATCATTGATTTCCCTGGGAAGCAGCAGGCAGGAGCCTCGCCCAGCTACTTAGCTGCTGACACCCTGTTCCTGGAGGGCAAAGTGGCAAGGCTCCTTCCAGTTGCCTTGACAATGCATGCACCTCCTGCCTCCTACATGCCCAAAAGACAGTAGTGGCTCCGGGGACATTTGAAAGCAGCTGCTGGGGACCTCTGTCTCAGCCTCAGTAGATGAAGACATTATGGGCTGTGTCACAGTCAGGCAGGTGTGGTACCAAGGGTGACCCTAGGCTTCAACGCTGGATTCAGCAAAGAAAAATGAGGACCAAGAGCCGACAAGCTAACAGCGAATGAAGACACTTGCCACCAAGTTTGACAACCTCTGTTCTAGCCCTGGAACCCACGACTCGGAATGTGGTGGAAAGAAAGAACTGACTCCTGCAACACACCCACTGGCACAAACGCCCCCACATAGACACACTCACAAAATAAATAAATGTGAAGTTCAGATTGACAATGACTAACTTTTTGGATTAAGTGTGGAGCGTGTTGATCTGAAATTTGCAGCTGGCTGCCTTCACCGCCCCTTAGTCCCTCCTGGGTGAAGTTGAGCTGATAATGTTTTGAAAGTTAGTGTATACAGTAGTGGGTTTCATTGTGGCACTCTCATACACATATCTTCCACTGTGCACCCTGCTGTGCCCCTGCCTCTGTAGCTGGTTCAGTTCCTTCCCCAAGATATTACACACCTCTAATTTCAAGTCACATAATCTATACCATCCCCACCATCCCCTCCACCAAGACTTCTTCCTCCCCTCTTACGATCTACTGTCAAGTTTCGTGATCTCCCCTGCATATATATGCATATACACAATTTTAAATCTAGGTTCCTCACATTTCAGGAAACATGCAGCGTTTGTTTTTCTGAGTCTGACTTATTTCACTTAACAGAATGACTTACAGGTCCATCTGTTTTCCTACAAATGTCATGACTTCATTCTTCTTTATGGCTGAATACAACTCACTTCTCTGCATGTGCCATATCTTTGTCACGCATCTGTCTGTTGATGGGTGTCTAGGCTGTCTCCACTCCTGGCTATTGTGAATAGTGTAGCAATAAGCATGCATTTGTGGGTGTCTCTGCGGCATGTTGATTGCAGCCCTCCCTTCAGGTATATGTGAGACGGTTGTGAGTGCTCACTTTTGAAAAATCTGCACACCAATTTCCACAGTGGCTGAAGAAGTGTCAGATGTCACCAGCAGTTTGTTAGTTTGCTCTTTCCCCACATCCTTGCCAGCATTCCTTGTCACTTGTTGCTTTGATGATGTCCATTCTGACTGAGGTGAGATGGACTCTAATAGCAGTTTTAATTTGTCTTTCCCTGATCGCTAAAGATGTCAAACACCTTTTCAAGTATCTGTTAGCCATTTATAATGTCTTCTATTGACAAATGTTTATTGGATGGCTAATTTTTTATGTTTAATTTTTGCAGTTCTTTATATATATTTGTAATAATAATCTCCAGTCTAATTGTAGTTGGCAAGTGTAGATGTAACCAATCGTATTATTAAAATAAGAAACACAGAGCCAAGGTAAAAGAGAAAAGCCGAGAGGTCAGAGCTCAGAGATAAAATCTTACCTCCTGCAGTGCTCCTAGCTTCCCCGAGAGAGGGAGGTACTTCCTGTGTCCCTGTTTAAATA